TGATCTGTCTTGGCTTCAGTGGAAATCTGTCACATCTGATCAAGATTGGAGTGAATATGAAACCATCAGTTAAGGTGATTCTAAAATGCTTCCCAGCTAATGTGAATGCAGCAACTTGATTTTCTCAGTGTGTTTACCATGTCCACTTTTCCCAATACCAAATTTAGATGGTCATGCCAGCTCCATTTTCAGGTAAATGTGAAAGAAATAATGGTATATAGATTATATGATGGACAACACCCTGTGAAATCCATCATTCTAGGAACAGAGGAGATTGAATAGTGTGACCTGTGATTTATAGGTGGGAAAACACCACTTATCATCTCTAGAAAGATCTGTTATACCTACTGGGTTTGCTCATGCTGTGTAGTATATTGTTTTCCAGGTAAGGTAAATCTCAAATCCTTATTAAAGTTGTTTATTTCCTTTGTAGATCCATGAAAGTCGGAAAATAATGAAAGATGCACACAAGATAACTAATGAACTAGTAACTTTTGTTCTCAGTCTGGGAGGTTGAGAGTGAAAATGTGAACTTGTAGTGCACAGCATGGTCTTGTTGGAAGAATATCGTGTGATGAAAGCTGTAATGATGGGAGAAGATACACAAACAGTAGGAAAGCCACATCCATGAGTGGCTCTGTGGCTTCCAATTTGCCCATTATCACCTTGAGAAGACCAATTGAAATGGGTAGTTTTGTGTATTTAATTCAAAGCAGAAAAAGAAAATGGTCGCATCACCTACTGAAATGCATATTTTTTAAAATTTATTTTTTTTCATTTATTTTTATTAGTTGGAGGCTAATTACTTTACAACATTGTAGTGGTTTTTTGCCATACATTGACATGAATCAGCCATGGATTTACATGTGTTCCCCATCCTGAACCCCCCTCCCACCTTCCTCCCCATCCCATCCCTCTGGGTCATCCCAGTGCACCAGCCCTGAGCACTTGTCTTATGCATCCAACCTGGACTGGTGATCTGTTTCACCCTTGATAATATACATGTTTCGATGCTGTCCTCTCAGATCATCCCACCCTTGCCTTCTCCCAGAGAGTCCAAAAGTCTATTCTATACATCTGTGTCTCTTGTTCTGAAATTCATATTTTAAAAAGTGACTGTTTTTCTAAGGTAGACATATATCCTCCAGAGTTCTGAAGCTCCTGTGCCTGGAAGATCTTGTATTTTTCGTGTAACTTCATAAACTCTAGTTCTTAAGGTGGAGTTGATGAAAATGAACTAGTGTGTGCAATGAAGTCCATATACACACATATTTTCTGGGCCACGCCACACAGCTTGAGGATCTCACTTCCCCAACTAGGGATTGAACTCAGGCCCTCAGCAGTGAAAGTGTGAAGTCCTAACCACTGGACCAACAGGAAACTCCCAAGGTCTCTATATTTAAAATCCAATTAATAATTACATATTTTCACTTGACCAGTCATTTTATTTCATGTCAGTTGACTTGTATGCAAACTAACTTGACTGCTAGTTACTGCTAGTTCCCCAAAAGTCTAAGTTACAGTTACTCAAACTCTGTTTGAAACATAGAATAGTTTATTTAAAGGTAATTTGTAATCATTTGTGATTCAAAAGAAAGCAGTCAGGGACAAATGAAACACAAACTTTGCCCTCAAACTATTTTAATCATTAGCTTGACCTCCTTAAACATTATGTTGTTTGTTCTTTAAAAAATCATCAATAAATAGCTAAACTGATTATTATATTCTTTAATCTGTACCCATTTCCCAGTCACTTCTTGGAGCTTTGGGGGCAAACACATACAAGTGTACTGCAATGTTCTGAATCAGCAATTCTGCACATTTTGATCAATAAGGAGGAGGTGGTAGTGAGTAAAGAGAAAAAAGAGGAATGCTGTGCTATGCTATTCATCAATACTTGGGAAGTACCTCGGTTAATCACTTGTTAACAGTAAATAAAAAAGAAATCCTAGTCAGGGTACTTATGAACCAGAGCTAGGAAGTCAGCCGGGAGACTAGGGCTAAGCAAGGTTGAGGTCTGGTAAAAATGAAGTGAAAGGGAAGGTGAAGGTCAAGGAGCAGTTTCAAAACCTCAGTTTGTTCTGCAGGAAGCTAAAGATGGAGCTGGAGACTTTTACAGTGAGCTTGGAAGTTGACACATCCATGCCTGCAGTGGGAATTTTAGGATTTGAAACAAAATTACCTTTAGTGTTCTACAAAGTCTCCATAAGTTTTAGGGACTATCATCTGGTGGTATCACAACCTCATAACCTTCCTGACTTCCACCACTGAGTTTGCTGATCCCTCTTTTTGTGGGTCCATGGGGGGAAAAAAAAAAGATAAAGGGGAATAGGTGGGTCTAAGACTGGGGTGGGGGAGGGGAAGTAGCCAAGCTCTGGCACTAACTCATACAGAGAATGGCTATCAACACCACTGCCAGTGTCCAAAGAATTGGAGATAACTCAGACTTACTTGGTGTGGCAACAACCAAGTAATAACCCTTCCACTTCTAGAAACTTGTCCTATGGAAATAATCAAGAGTGTGTTCCAAAATATAACTTCTAATGTTCTTCTCAATATTGTTTATGATAGAGAAAAGCTAAATGCCTAACAATAAGAGAATAGTTACCTAGGTATGCTACATACACCCGTGTGAGGGAATGTATATGCAAACATAAAATTAATGTGTTAGAAGAATATTTTTTAACAAACATAAATTGAACTTTAAAAAGATTACATAAAAGTACAATATATAAAAGTAGCATTTTAGAGTGTAAATGAACTTATTTACAAAACAGAAACAGATTCACTGACATAGAAAACAAACTTATGGTTACCAAACGTTGATAGTGAAGGGGGGTGGGGGAGAAGAAGGGGAGGGAGACAAATTAGGAGTTTGGGATGAATATATACACACTATTATATATAAAATAAACAGCAAGGACCTACTGTATAGCAAAAGAAATCATGCTCAGCATCTTGTAATAACCTATAACTAAAAAGCATCTGAAAAAGAATATTTATGTAGATACAACTGAATCACTTTGCTGTACACATGAAACTAACATAACATTGTAAATTAACTATACTTCAATTATTTTTTATTTTCTAATAAGACTAAATTTATTCAATACCCCAGTAAAGGTTTTGATTATAAGTATCCAACAGTATAAAAAGTACAAAACAGATTTGTAGATTTCTAATATATTAATACAAAGTGCATGACTACATACAGTACATCCTACAGGCAAAGAGAGGTGGAAGGGGGAAAGAAGACTGTGGATGAGGTCTAGTAATAGATAAATAAATAAATACAGAAGTAGAGATGATCCATATTATAGTATATTCTACCACCAATACTGCAGCCAAAATGTACAAAAAAAATTTCAAAATAACTCAGGAGGAAGATGATAATGGCTGGGGTTCTTGTAATACACCTCAAAGTCTGTGGGAGCACTGACCCAACTCACTGTGTAGTCTGTGCATATGGTGGCTTGTAGTTTTTTCCAAAGGAAGAAATATAAAATTTTAAGTTTCGATTAAAACCCAAAAAACTATAAGGTACCCATAAAAAGTGGCTCACTCTCTTGTTATGTATACTATCCAATCTGTAAAATCCAGTTTTAAAAATAAACACTGAGTCATGTTTTACCAGGGAGGCAAACGATCCTTCCTCATTATGAAGGATATATTTTTCCTGTACTTTTAGAAAAGAGGCAATAGATAGTACTTTGGTTTGGGTTCAAGTAAAAGGCTTTTAATGAAGGTTTTAGAATGGAAGAGCTCCACATTTAGGATGTATCATCTAACACCTCAATGTTCAGAAAGCCTGACTAAAAGAAGCCAAACCAAAACCAACCCACTCAGCATTAACACACACCTCTTTTCTTTTAGTAGAATTTTACTTTAATATAGAATAAAAAAAAAAAAAAAAAAAAACCAAAACCCTAACAGGTTAAAACAAGTCAAACAACCATTCTACACAGATAAAACCTTCACAAAGGTCAACTGAAGTAATCCAGAGCTAAAACTGAATTGTGCAGATTTTCAGTGAGGTCACCAGTCATGTAACATAAACAAATTATTTACACACTTGCAAGCCCTCTAAGAAACGTGCCCCAAGAAACATTAACCTTTGTTTTTTTCGTGTGCCATCCTAAAGACTTCCACATTGTTATTTTTCAGATAATCTAACATTTTTAATAGGGAATGTTCTCTACCAAGTGGTAATGCTTTGGTACTATTCATATAGGATTGCTTATCCTAAAGACTTGACATTTCCCCAAGAGGAACTTTGATTCTGCTTTAAGTTTTGATTCTGCTTTTTAAGTTTCATATAAATTAAAATCTGTATCAAATATCAATATGGAGTGAGGTGACACAGGATGCAACATATACAGTCAAGTTACCTCTGCCTATTTAGAAATTACTCCTTCAAGATATTTGCACCAGAGAGCTGTCTGTCCTGCTTAATATTCAGTAGTACAGGTTTGAATCACCAGAACCTTGGCAAGACCTTAATATTTCAGTTATTAACAACTACCTCTAGGGGCAAGTCCATGTTTACTGAGTTATGACAAATTTATTATAACGAAGGAAAACAAGTGTAGCCAGCCATCTTAAAAAATGTCCCAACCACTGCTTCTCAAAATAGAAAGACTAAAACTACATATGTTTATCATACAACAAATCCCATCTCTGTCCCCTGAAAATTCGCCTAATTTCATTCATTAGAAGGGGATTTTTAAAAAAGACTTAAAGAGCACTTTACAGCAGCATTCAGCTTCGCTATGAAATACTCAGCATCTTAAATATTATGTACACTTCTTTTCTATCTCTTAGTAAGCTTCACTGGCTTCAGAGTTTGTGGAACTGGAGGAAAAATAGTTCATTCAAAACTATTCTACAAATCCATCTTTTGGCAGAATAGCAGGTATCCAAATTAAAAATAGGAGGGTCATTTTGTTGCTTTGTTTTCCAAAATTTAAATCATTTTTGCTCCCCTTCTACATAAAGCTTAGTCACCACTCCTGAGTGGAGATGGGCAGAGGCTCTGGTCCCTGCTCCTCCGGCTTCTCGGCAGCTGCTTTCTTATTGCTGCAGCAAGGCTTGAATAGATGTGTGTCGATGAGGACTTCCCCAAAACGGCCTTTATAGATAATGCCACAGCATATTTTCTGTCTTTTCCAGTATGTGAGATCTAAAAAGGAAAACACTGGCGTTCTGTTGGAGCCAGAAGCCATCTCTGTATCTGAGCCATCATCTGACTGGTTACTGTAACAGGGAGACTGAGCTGGAGAGGCACTTGAGGTTGTACTGTGAGCATCAGAATTGTGGCGTTTAAATTCCTTCTGCAGTTTACTGATCTGGTTACTTTTTATCCTGTTTCCAGATAGAGTTTTCACTTTCTTTGGTTTCAGTGTAGTCTTTAGACTGGGTCCTGCCCTTGCATCTACATGATTCCAGTTTTTTTTTTTTTTTGATCCTGCTGGCAATTTCTTCCATCTTTTCACAAGCAGGACACAGGCATTACAGATATCTCCTGAACGAGACTCACGTAACCCAAAACAGCTCTGGAAATCCTTTTCATAGCGTTTACTGTCAGTGAATCGAGAACTGGAGGATTTAGCTCTGCAAATACAGCAGCCCTCTATACTTCGGTACATCTTTGACTTATGAAAACCAAACATCTTTTCTTCTGGGCAATAGCCTTCCAAAAGCAGCCGTTTCACGCGCAATAACCATCCCGAGGGGCACAGTGCACGCTAAGTCAACCCCTGCTTCAATCGCTCCCTCCTCCTCAACAGCCTTGTCTAGCTACTTCGATTTTTCAAAATGAAAAAAAGAATAAAGTTACTCCTTTGTCTTTTCAAAAAAAATAACATTTTCCCCACACTGTCCCATTATCCTACATTATTCTTGCTAATAACCATGACATACTTTGTATTTACTTGTTTATATTTATTGCTAAGTCACTTCAGTTGTGTACAACTCTTTGTGACACTATGGACCATAGCTCACCAGGCTCCTCTGTCCTTGGGATTTCCCAGGCAAGAATACTAGAGTGGGTTGCCATGCCCTCCTCCAGGGGATCTTCACAACCCAGGGATTGAACCCACATCTCCTGCATTGGTAGGTGGATTCTTTACCACTAGCGCCACCTGGGAAGTTCTTTTAACTCATTAGAATGTCAGCACTATGAGTGTTGGGATTTTGTTTTGTTCACTATTGAATCCTCCATTCCTAATACAATGCCTGGCATACAGCTGGTGCTTAAAAAGTATCTGTTGAATGAATGGCTGAATAGTTCTAATGTATGTTATAGGTCAGCACAAGGTATAGAAGCACAGAAGAATGGCTCAAACACACTTTGGATGATGATCAGGGAAGACTTCCTGGAGGAGGCAATCCTTGAATCTCTGTTAAAGTGTGGTAAAGAGAAAGACTTCTTGAGATACAACTTATGGCCTAGATTCTTGTTGCTGTGATGCCTTCCTTAGTTGGACGTCCTCAGAACTGTCTGCCTGTGGATACTGCAGTGAATCGTCTGCTTCTTCTGAAAGGACCAACCTCATAATTGAATTGTTTTCCTATTCTGTTCTTAATTAACTTCTTCTTTTTCTCCACTAACGTCTTGGCTTGGTTTTCCTCTAAGCCTATCCTTATTACAATTTACCCTCTTTTAGTTTACTTCACACTTCTTATAAATTATATGATATTATATAGGAAGCTCAGAATCCTTAGATATTATTACATGTTGAAATATTTCACTATGACACAGGAGTAAAACTAGACAGAATCATTTTCTAGTAAAGTTACTCTCCTTTCCCATATCAGGTGTCTTAATAACTGAATAGTAATATCAATGAAAGCAATGACAACAAGATCACCCTGTATACTTGCACAGCATTTTAACTATATATGTTCAAGGCTGTTGTGTATATCATCGTAACCTCACAAAAACTCTAAGAGGTACACAAGAAAAGGATAATTATCATCATTTTATTGATGAGAAAACCAGGTAAAACACAGATTGTGACTCTTCTGTTTTCTCAAAACATCTTAAAGACCTGAGACATACTAGAAATTAGGTAAAAAATTCTGAAGTGGCAACATGCTTCTAAAAGAAAAAAAAAAAAAACTACACACATTACATTAATGCTTTATAAAGGGGAGAGGAAGGAAGACACAAGGAATGTGTGTCAAAATATGAAACATAATATTTTTGGTCATTATTTTCTGCTCTGATGGAGAAAGTTGCATAGATTTCATTTACTTTACAAATTACATAAAAATGGATTGAGTTCATGTAGATTCAAGTAATTTGAATGCAGAAAATGTTGTAATAAACTAAAAGGATTATTTTTAAATGTGACAAAATATTTGAGTGTCTCCAAAACAGGGACTATAAGAGCATTAAGAAATGAAAACAAAATTCCATTTCAAAGAGCTCATTGCTTATCATATTAGATAACAAAGAAAACAAAATGAAAATGTTTAATTTTAGCTATCAGATTAAGATAAAGTAAGATCTATAGTAATAGAATGGATTTCCCCATGAATTAAAATATAAAAATTTAATATTCAGTTTTAAATATTGTATCTCAGAAATTAAACTCTGTTCATAAACTAATCAATGTATGGCCCTATCTTCATTAAAGAGCTATATTTATAAATGTTGCATTATATTGAACACATTATTATTCAATATAATTGTCACAAAATGAAACACTTAGAATGTGGGTTAAATGCATTTACATTCCAAGTATCACAACAGCAATATTAAAATTGCAGGATCAAGTTAAAATTTTGTTATCAGTATTAAAATTAGTCTAGCCCATTTAATTATTTAACAGATTTATAATATCATCAAAGGTAATTAGGTAGGTGGGAAAATCGATTATACAGGACCCATGTAAAGTCTTAAAACAAAAAGAGCAGTTGGTATAGATCCAGTACATATGTACCTGGTTCTTAGCCAAGACAAAAACACCAAGGTAATTCTTGTCAAGGTTTATATAAAATAAAATTACATGACATCTAGCTATATTGTAGTAATGTTGACATAACAAAGAAAGTTTCATCTTTTGAAACAAAGACAAAATATTTAAAAGCATGTAACATTTTATGTGAGGCTACTTTCCAAAGTACAATATGAAAATAATAAGACTGAAAAGCTGATGGAAGAAATTCTTCAAGTGGACAATCCCTATTTCCACACTCTGCATGCAGCAAAGCAAAAATTTCTGCTTTCTGTTGATATACTTTGCATTTGAGAGAAAATATTGTACTAGAGCAACAATAGTTACATATGACAAAATTATAGACCCTCTGATTTTGAAGGAGAACTCACCTAGCATTAGGCTACCCACTTCAGTGTTATTGGGCTTCCCTTGTGGTTCAGCTGGTAAAGAATCCACCTGCAATGCAGGAGACCTGGGTTTGATCCCTGGGTTGGGCAGGTCCCCTGGAGAAGGGAAAGGCTACCTACTCCAGTATTCTGGCCTGGAGAATTCCATGGACTGTACAGTCTATGGGGTCACAAAGAGTTGGACATGACTGAGTGACTTTCACTTCATTCCACTTTGCCTAGAATTTGATTGAACCCTTTAGTATTCTGAGGCAGAGCAAGAGCTCTGTGTGATTTTCCCAAAGCCACAAGGCAGAGCTGGAACTAGAATCTAGATTTTTCTCTGTCCTGGTCCAAAACTCATTCCTCTGTAGCACACTGCTTGCTGTACATTTGAGACAAAAGTTCAATTTTACAAAGTACTCCAGATTTTTATTTTTTTTATTTTTTTTATTAGTTGGAGGCTAATTACTTTACAATATTGTAGTGGTTTTTGTCATACATTGACATGAATTAGCCATGGATTTACATGTATTCCCCAGTTCAACATACATATGACAATTCCCACAATACCAAACACATAAATGCTCCCCTTACACTGATGGGCAAGGTTTAAAAAATCTATACTTCAGAAGACCTTTGCATCAATTCACCTTTATTCTCTCAAATCAAGAAAGCAAACCATTCTCTTATTTTGGTCTGGATGATCTGATGGAAAACAGAACAGATATTCAATGAAACCCTTTCGATTTCAGTCAATGGAATTCTTTATCAGCTTAAAAAAAGCGATTATTTTAACCTTTTTAAAGGTCAATATTTGGAACAATTCACCTGCATCCAAACTTATAGTGAAGGTGGCCAAAATGATTGGAACCACTGTGTTTTGATTTATTTTAGTGGCAATACATAATCATAACTGAGACTTGATCTTGTCCTGTGTTTGGAACTTCCTTCATATTCCTCTGAAGTTTACCTACTCCCAATTCATAAACATGTTTTCATAGTCTCTTGTACTTCTCTTGAAATATATTTTCATTTATTTGACATATCCTCAAGTACTGGATCTTCAAAATTCACTAAAATATTACCCTAGTTGATAGCCATACTTCCTGTACTCCTCCTCCAACACATGAAATATTCTTGAGTAGAGAAGAACAAAAATAACAAAACCAATTAAGATACAGATGTTTGTAGACAGCTAGATATTCTCAGAAGTGAAGAAACTCACGTATATATGCATTTTAAGGTTCTTTAATGATAGTTAGAATAGTCTAACATGTTAATTCAGCTTTCCTCTATATACTACAATAAGAAAGCAGAGCAGGGAGAGCCTATGCCCATAAACCTGAAAGAAAATTACTCAGAAGTTGCTGTTATGGGTTGAATTAGGTCTCCCCGCCCCCTACCAATAATTCATGTGTTAAAGGCTTCACCCCCAAGACCTGAGAACATGATCTTATTTGGAAATAGGGTAATTATAATTGGAATTAGTTAACATGAGGTCATATTAGGGTGGGCCTTAATACAGTATGATCAGTGTCCTTATTAAAAGGGGAAATTTGCCCACAGAGACAGACACACACAAAGGGAAGACGATGTGAAGACACAAAGGAGAAAGCAGTCATCTAAGAGCCAAAAGAAAGGCCTGAAACAAGCCTCATCACAGATGGTTTTCATACAAATGTGTGATCTTCTTTGTGATTTACCTCAGTTACTCTTTCTACCTTTCATTTCCTAGAGTACTTTGCAGAATCCTAAACTATTTTGATTCCAAAGCGGGTTAGTTATATATCAGTACAAAATCAAAGGCTCACCAATCAGAAACATAGGAATGAAATAGGTATCCATCTGTGACGGCATTATAGTGATTTGGGGCCATACCCAGTGGTAAGGCAGTGACAGATGTGCACCGCTGTCGCTTTGCATGGAAGCAGGAAGGTACAGGAAGAAGCAATAATGCCTTAAGAGGAGTATAACAGAAAGGGAAAGAATAAGAAATAAAGCTGAACTTATAGAAATAGCTTCTAATTTACTTTGCATTATATTTAAAAGCTCTAGAGTGCCATCTGACCTTTCTACCAGGAGAAGCAATAAATAAAATGTATAAATAATTTGTATTTTATATGTGTTTTGTACCCCAAATATGGAACTCAGCCTATTTGAGAATGAGCATTCCTAACTGCAACCTCAGTGAATTCACAATCAACTGGACTATCAACTCCTTTTGACGGAATCTATTTGTTTCAAAGTCATGTTGCCCTTGTAAGAAGCAAGATAAACAGAGTAGTTTCAAAGAAAGTTGTGAGATAGTTGGGCTTTAAGAATTTGAATTTGACAAGTTCAAGAAGTGAAAACGGGAGTGGGGTGTGGGCAGGGATGTTTATCCTATTAAAAAAAAACAGAATCAATAACTAATTTATTCAACAAGCACTTATTGAATACCTTCCATGTGTCATTTGGTGATGGGCTACATACTAGACGTGTTAAAAATGAGAAGTAGGCAGGATACATTTCGATCCAGGAGAGGAAGAAGGTGATTCCATGACAGAATGGCAGGTGAGATTTTAGGTCAAATGTAGCCTTTAAGCATCTCTCATATTCTACCAGGTAGGTGGCTATTAATACTTACATAAAGACCAGCCCTATCCGACACAGGAGGAAATAGAGGCCCTGAAATACAGTCTTATTTTTCCTCCTATTCCTAGATAATGAAGACAATGAAAACATAATTTTAATTGAAAAGTTGATGGGAATGAGTAAAAGCTTGCATGCTTCTAAGAATTTCTGCAGTTCGTGGCCTTTCCATATTCTTATGATAAAGCCCACAGTGGTCACTTCCTTAGTATATCCCCAATGAGGAACCATTAGCTTTTACTTTACTTTTTAAAAACAGACTTTATTTTTTAGAGCAGTTTTAAGTTCACAGCAAAATTGAGGAGAAAGTATGGGGAGTTCCCATAAACACACTAACCCCACACATGCATAGCCTTGCCTACTATCAACATCCTCCACTAGGGTGGTATATCTATTACAAATGAGGAACCTACATCAACACACCGTGATCACCCAGAGACCATTACTTATGTTAGCTTCACTCTTGGTGTCATACACCCCATAGTGTCAGTAAATTGTCGTGTCCAACTCTTTGTGACCCCATGGACTGTAGCCCACCAGCCTCCTCTGTCCATCAGATTTTCCAGGCCAGAATACTGGAGTGGGTAGTCGATCCCTTCTCCAGGGGATCTTCCCAACTCAGGGATCAAACCCAGATCACCCACATTGCGGGCAGATTCTTTACCAGCTACGAATGCTGGAAGTCTACGAATGCTGGAGTGGATAGCCTATCTCTCCTCCCACTCTTTCTGACTACAAGGACCATACAGTGCATGGAATTCTCCATGCCAGAACACTGCAATGGGTACCCGTTCAAACCCAGATCTCCCACATTGCAGGTGGATTCTTTACTAGCTTGAGCTGCAAGGTAAGCCCAAGAACACTGGAGTGGGTAGCCTATCCCTTCTCCAGCGGGTTTTCCCCCACCCAGGAATTGAACCAGGCTCTCCTGCATTGCAGCCAGATTCTTTACCAGCAGAGCTATCAGGAAAGCCCCTTACATGAATAGCTCTTTTCGCTCTACAACAAATACAAAATACTCTCATTTCCAAATCCCTGAAAAAATCTTTATGGTAACATCAAATAAATAAAAATCTTCTTAGTTTTTTTTGTTTATTGTTTTTAACAGAAAAGAAAGTCAAATTTATTTAATTAAAAACTAGACTTAAAATTAGCAAATACACAAACACACACTCAAAAATACACACATGAGAGCACTATGTATTGACTCATAGAGGGGAAATGCAGCGGTCGAAGACCACTCAATATGGCTTGTCAGGTAAAGGAAAAGAAATCCAAGCATGTGCGTGCGCACGCTCGGACACACACACACGCACACAGACACACACACACACACACACACACACACACACAGCACAGGCACACAAAAAAGAACCCAGTGGTTTTCAACAGTACACTCAGTCTATTATAAACAAAAATTCAGAATTAGTTTCCAAAGTTTACTCATTTAATTCAAAAGATGGCCATCTCAGGTGTAAACATACATACATTTTTCAGTGGTTTACTACTGACTTATTTTAAATATATTAGTGTTACTACATGCAACTATTTCTTTTTTTTTTTTTTTAAGTGAACTAGAATTAGCTTTATTATTTTTTTTTTGAAGTCATAGAAACCAATTTATTTCAGATAATGTACACTTAAGAAAGAAAAACATCATAAGGAACAAAAAAGGATATTATAAACAGGTTAAAGGAGTAAAAAATCTAAACAAAAAAAGAATGTGACAGAAAGAGGGAGGGAGGGAAGGAGGAAAGAAAGAAGGAAGGAAGAGATGGAGGGAGGGGAGAAAGGAAATAAAGGACAGAAACCAAGGAACTTGAAATAAATGACAAAATCATAAATAAATATTAGCAAATCCCTGGAAAGACACGTCAAGAAAAATAATTTAAAATTTATATATCAGAATTAGGCAACTATTTCTTGTATTTAACACCCTTTGGTTTTATTTATCTTAATGTCTCTGGCTTCCACCTACCAAAAGTTTCTGGTTGGTAGGAACACGGGTGCCTTATTCTCTGTGAAATTGAATGTATTGGTTTTAAACACTCGTCAGAAAATGTTTGGTCACAATTTCAACACATGGAAATAGTTACATCGATGCTTAAATCGCCATTTTCTGCAAAAAGTTCTGCAACTCCAGGGTCGAACACTAGGCAGTCACTGTTCATAATGGCTGTTGCAACTCTCTCATAAATAGACAGAGGCGTGGCTTCCCAAGTCAATCGCCGCCCATTACCATTTAGCTCAAGTCGATAAGCAAACTGTTCAGCTTGTTCGTGTGTTCCCATCAGCTGGACAAGAGCAAAGAATTTCTGGTGACCATCGTCGGTTTCCAGTTTCTCTAACACTAACATAAAGTGAAACCCAAAACAGGACTGCATCATCACCCAGTCAAGGGCACCGGAAAGATGAATGTTGACTGCAAGGAAAACGACAACTTCTCCCTCCAAGGTTATAATGGACTCATGCTTCTGCATCAGATGCGGCACTACAGCGTTCACTGAGCCTTGCCACCCACAGGAAGTACCAGGGCAGGGACAACAACAGGGCCTAAACTCACAGTGTTTTTCATGGTCTGCTTTTTCTGTGGGTGGCATAGTTATTTCACAACCAAAAGTGGCGTATTTGCACGGGAAAAGTACTGAAACAGCCACTTTCTCCATGGCCAAGTTGCGAATTGGTGTCAGCAGGTCCCGGCAAGTTGGACAATGTGTGAGCTTTGACCAACAGTCACTACAGACAAGATGGCCATTATGACATTGTAGAATTGGAGGTATCACGTAGTCAAAACAGACGGGACACTCAAAAAGACTTGCCAAGTCACTGCTGGACGCAGTTGTGCCGGACAGGTCAGGCCCCGTCTGGGAGGAGGGCGCACCATTTGACGGTCCAGTAGGTTCTCTCTCAGTCTGACGGCTCATTTCTGTGGGTGGAGAGCGAGTCTCGGACCTCGGTCCTGGCTCAAACACGCTCCGTCGTCGCCGCCGCCGCCAACGCCCGTCACTGCGGGCAGCGCCACTGCCTCTGCCTCATGCCAATACCGACGAGGCACTCTGGCTCGCCGCTGCCGTTAGAGGGCGCCTAGCAACGGTCGCCGTGGCTCCTCACTGTCCGCCGCCGCCGGCGTTCCGCGCGCTCTCGAAACCGCTGCGTGCTCCCGCTAAATCCCGCACACTATGGCGGCCACCGCATGGGGGCACGACCTCGCGCGACGGTGGCCCGCAGGGGCCAAAAAGAATCTTTTTAAAGGAATAGGTCACTGTTACAATCTCAGCATTCCTTTCCCAGAGCTATTTTGCATGTTGGGTCATATAACGGTTTTAGTCCTAGTAACTGTCTATTTTGGGAGCTCACCTACAATCTGGTGAAATTATGGACAAAGTATGAAATTAGAACTGCAATAGGAATAATCCAGAGTTTAAAAGATTAAATGAGTACTTAGCTACTTTTCATGTATAAACGTGCTCTTCAAGTGCTAATTAATTTGCTTAAAACCTCCGTGAGCATGGCTGGACTAGGAGAAAATCAGAGTTTTGAAGAGAGAAAAGTGAAAAGTTTCTAGTGGAGCTGTATTTTTCCATAACTCATCTTCAGGCAGAATCTTCTAAATAGGTGTCAATTAAATTCTGCTCATCTGAACAGTCAGGCTGTTCAGTAGATTAAAAAAATTCAGTTTTGCCTGAAACCCTTCAGTTCAGTTCGGTTCAGTCGCTCAGTCGTATCCGACTCTTTGTGACCCATGAACCGCAGCACGCCAGGCCTCCCTGTCCATCACCAACTCCGGGAGTCCACCCAAACCCATATTCATCGAGTTGGTGATGCCATCCAACCATCTCATCCTCTGTCGTCCCCTTCTCCTTCTGCCCTCAAACCTTCCCAGCATCAGGGTCTTTTCAAATGACTCAGCTCTTCACATCAGGTGGCTGAAGTATTGAAGTTTCAGCTTCAACATCAGTCCTTCCAATGAACACCCAGGACTGGTCTCCTTTAGGATGGACTGGTTGGATCTCCTTGCCGTCCAAGGGACTCTCAAGAGTCTTCTCCAACACCACAGTTCAAAAGCATCAATTCTTCGGCGCTCAGCTTTCTTTATAGTCCAGCTCTCACATCCATACATGACCACTGGAAAAACCATAGCCTTGACTAGACGGATCTTTGTTGGCAAAGTAATGTCTCTGCTTTTTAATGTGCTATCTAGGTTGAGCGTAACTTTCCTTCCAAGGTGTAAGTGTCTTTTAATTTCATTGCTGCAATCACCATCTGCAATAATTTTGGGAATAACCTAAATCTTATCCCATAGCGAAACAAAATCTCAGAATTGAGAAATCAAGGAAGCCCAGAACTATCCTGGATATTTGTACATATTCAGGGTCAGTGATGGACTATTGTAAAACCAAATACACTGGTTTTAACTAGAATTGGACATATTGCTAAGGAAATAACCAGTTACATCACCATGTCTAATTCCGTGCAGGTCAATAATTCATTTCTGACTATGGCAGTCTCATCACTCCTTTGGGGTGAAGGAATGCATGTCGGTGTCACTGACTACTACTGGCAGGCCTGAGGCATTAACAAGAGGGAAGACCGAATTGAAGGGAAGAAGCGGTTGTGGTAGAAGATCACCAACAAATTCATAAGCTGTCAGCCATCATTTCAACCGGTGTCCCAGAGAGCAGGGAGATAAATCTGTTAAAACAATGCAATGAGTAAAAATAAATACACGGAACAGGTCATGCTGGAAGTACAGGAAGAATCGGAATAGTGTATTCATGTGGGAATCATGTCAGAAGCCAGGATATTACAAGTAGATATATTCTGATTTCACTTTTGTGGAAAATCTGTACAAACTCGGTATGGCTAATATTATGGCATTTGTTAACAGCAACAACAACAAAAAAAAACCATTTAGAGACACACTCATCTCTTTTGATCCAGAACTCCACTGCTACTAATGTCTCCTGAGGTGATATTAAGAACATGCATGATGTTTTACATCCCAGAGTGTTTATCAGGGCTTTTGTTAAAATAAAAATTGGAGAGCATTTAAACAGCTAAATCTAGAGTATTTGAATAAATGATGCACATTCATTCAGTGGAATACTATACAGCCAATTCAAAGAATATTGTCAAAGTGCACGTATTAGTACACAACAACCTGCCTGACATATTGAGTGACAAAAACCAGTTAGAAAACAAAATTACATATGACCCCATTCGAAGAGTTGTGCAGTTAATGAATTTTTGAACAGAAGAAGTTCTGCAAGTGTATACCGCAAAATGGTAACTGGTTATCACTGGTGGGATTATGGACAGTTTCTTTGATTATCTCTATTTACTAAAATAAATCTGTACTACATTTATAATAAAAAATATGCAAATGCATGAAACAACAGAGATTACATTAGACAGAGATATTTCATGCTTTAGAAAGATACACAAGTCTTGTTTTCCCTGGAGACACACCCTTGTTCATGCATCACAGGATAAAGCTTTAACAGCATATTATTACTGGCACTCCCTGGCTACAGTATTTCTGATTGAGACTAGTATAAATAACGAGTCGCCAATTTCATGGCTCTCACAACAAGCCCTTCCAATGTGAGAAATGTGGCTAAAGTTCATAAGATGACTTTCAGTGTTTTAGCAATTACAGGAATTATTTAAGCAAATAACAATTAGCATGAATTCTCAGAGAACCTAGTGTGCTTTTTCATTAGCTATACAAAAAAAAAAAAAAAAAAAAAAACGGGGTGGGGTGGGGCGGTAGATTTGGGAGGAAACTCCCAATAGAAATGAGAGAGCAGATAGCCAGTATCTTTAATTTTCTCACTGAAGATCCACTTTTTTCTCCATCTGGCCAGGCAAATAATGCAGAAATGGCCAACAGTAGATTATGCTGGGTCATCAGGGGGCAGAAGCAAAGTGGATAACTGAAATCCACTGATGATCCAGAAACCTAATTTTACCTAATAGTTGCAACCACCTCCTGGACAGAACCCTTCAGTAAAGCTGCTAATGAGAAGCATAATTGAGTGGTCTGAGTTCATCTGCTTTCAGTTACCCTTTGCAGGTGCTAATGAACAGTGAAGTGGTCAAAAGGCTGTCAGCCCAAGGGAGTGGTAGGAGCAAAAGCAAGACATGGATAACACCAGAAACTGGATGATCAGCCTCAAAATGGGTGAGTTGACTACAGTGAGGATCAGCTATTAATTATCTGCTTAACTAAATTCCACAAAGATATAGGTCATGAAAACGTATCTTCATATTAAAGGGTTTTCGTGTATGCAGTGTCTATCTTGGTTCACATGAGTTATGGTATAGTCTTAGAAATTCTCTATACTGCAGTGATTTTCCTGGACAGCAATGATAGGATAGTTACTGTCAGAGCATAGCTAATCAACTACAGGCTCCTCTGCTAAATATGGCCAACAGACTGCTTATGAGTCAGGACTCTGGCAGACAGTCCTTCTTTTGGACCAATGGGAATGTGATTGACTCACTCCCATGCCTTTCTGGGAGACGATATAAGCATTGCTGGTATCCAAATCCTTTTGTTTTTATAATTCTTCCAAATTCATGTTTTAGTAAACAGCCTTTTAAAAGTATTGTTATGGTGAACATTTTGTGGTTTATGGTAAGCATTTGGTTTTCAAGAATTGTTGAAACTAAATGTTTTTAGAGTGCAATTATTTTCAAGTATTACACAGTAAACTCTAATATTTGTAACTAAAACTCTATCTATGTTTGATTAGCAATTAGGCTCTCAAATAGTTATGAAAGTAATTTTCTTTCATAAGGCTGTACTTTAAGACAAATTACTTGATACATTCACTAATATTCAGAGCTTCTCAACTATATCTACATATGATTATGAATGTAGCTCTCTGTGGTGGTAGCAAAACTGATTCCATTTTTGGCAGTAGTTGGAAAAAGTACACTATAAACTATCTGATATTTGTAAATAAAACTGTAACTGCACATGAATATTTATAATGTTTTCTATAGTGATTGTGAGAGCAATCTCCATGTATAACACTTGTTTTGAGTAAATGAGATTTTTAATCATTTTAGTATCAACTGTTATTTCTTGATACTGTCCTATGATAGTGTGTCCCTTTGCCCATATTGTGAGTGAAAGGGCAAACGAACCAGTTTTATACAATGTGAATTGTTTAAGTCACTTGAATATCCTCAATTACTCGTTAACTTTTGCTTTCAGTTCAGTTGATTTCAGTCACTGAGTCACACCCGACTCTTTGTGACCCCATGGACTACAATACACCAGGCCTCCCTGTCCATCACCAACTCCCGGAGCTTCCTCAAACTCATGTCCATCAAGTCAGTGATGCCATCCAACCATCTCATCCTCTGTTGTCCTCTTCTCCTCCTGCCTTGAATCTTTCCCAGCATCAGGGTCTTTCCCAATGAGTCAGTTCTTCATGTCAGGTGGCCAAAAATACTGGAGGTTCAGCTTCAGCATCAGTCCTTCCAATGAACATTCAGGACTGATTTCCTTTCAGATTCAATGGTTTGAGCTCCTTGCTTTCAAAGGGACTCTCAAGAGTCTTCTCCAACACCACAGTTCAAAAGCATCAATTCTTTGGTGCTCGGCTTTATTTATGGTCCAACTCTCACATCCATACATGACTACTGGAAAAACCATAGCTTTGACTAGACGGACCTTTGTCAGCAAAGTAATGTCTCTCCTGTTTAATATGCTGCCTACGTTAGTCAGAGCTTTTCTTCCAAGGAGCAAATATCTTTGTCGTTTGATTTCATGGCTGCAGTCACCATCTGCAGTGATTTTGGAGCCCAAGAAAATAAAGTCTGTCACTGTTTCCATTGTTTCCCCATCTTTCTGTCATGAAGTGATGGGACCTGATGCCATGATCTTCGTTTTGTGAATGTTGAGTTTTAA